CCCTCTTCACCACGACTGACCGGTGCAGCGTCCGCATTACTGCAGCCGCAGCCCCAATCCGTCTGTCGATCTCCGGCTCCCTTCTCCCATCACTCGCGAACAAGACCCCGAGATACTTGAACTCCTCCACTTGGGGCAGGAACTCATCCCCGACCCGGAGTGGGCACTCCACCCTTTTCCGGCTGAGAACCATGGCCTCAGATTTGGAGGTGCTGATCCTCATTCCCGCTGCGTTACACTCGGCTGCGAACCGTTCCAGTGCGAGCTGGAGGCCCTCACCCGATGAAGCCAACAGAACCACATCATCCGCAAAAATCAGAGATGAGATTCTGAGGCCACCAAAGCGAAAGCCCTCCGCCACTTGGCTGCGCCTAGAAATCCTGTCCATAAAAATTATGAACAGAACCGGAGACAAAGGGCAGCCCTGGCGGAGCCCATCACCCACCGGGAACGAGTCCGACTTATTGCCGGCAATGCGAACCAAGCTCTTGCAACGGTTGTATAGGGATTGAATGGCCCGTAGCAATGGGCCAGACACCCCATACTCGCGCAACACCTCCCACAGGACGCCCCGAGGGACACGGTCGAATGCCTTCTCCAGGTCCACAAAACACATGTAGACTGGTTGGGCAAACTCCCATGCACCCTCAAGTATCCTCGAGAGGACAAAGAGCTGGTCCAGTATTCCGCGACCAGGACGAAAACCGCATTGTTCCTCCTGTATCCGAGGTTCGACTAGCGGATGAACCCTCCTCTCCAGCACCCTGGCATAGACTTTCCCGGGGAGGCTGAGGAGTGTGATCCCCCTGTAGTTGGAACACACCCTCCGGTCCCCCTTCTTGAAGATGGGGACCACCACCCCGGTCTGCCAGTCCACAGGTACTGCCCCTGATCTCCACGCAACATTGCAGAGACGTGTCAACCAAGACAGCCCTACAACGTCCAGAGCCTTCAGGAACTCGGGGCGGACCTCATCGACACCAGGGGCTCTGCCACCAAGGAGTTGTTTAACTGCCTCAGTGACCTCGCCCGCGGGAATTGGTGGGTCACACCCCTCATCCCCAGACTCTGCTTCCTCCCCGGAAGACGTGTCAGTGGGATTAAGGAGGTCCTCGAAGTATTCCTTCCACCGCCCGACAATTTTCTCAGTCGACGTCAACAGCGCTCCGCCAGCACTATACACAGTGCAGGTAGAGCACCGCTTTCCCCTCCTGAGACGCCTGACGGTTTGCCAGAATCTCTTCGAGGCAGTCCGAAAGTCTTTTTCCATGGCCTCTCCGAACTCCTCCCACACCCGAGTTTTTGCTTCAGCCACTGCCCGAGCCGCATTCCGCTTGGCCTGTCGATACCTGTCGGCTGCCTCCGGAGTCCCACAGGCTAACCAAGCCCGATAGGCCTCCTTCTTCAGCCTGGTGGCTCCCTTCACCTCTGGTGTCCACCATTTGGTTCGGGGATTACCACCACGGCAGGCACCAACCACCTTGCGGCTGCAGCTCAATGCAGCAGCTTCGGCAATGGAGACGCTGAACATGGTCCATTCGGACTCAATGTCCCCAGTCTCCCTCGGAATGCTGTTGAAGCTCTGCCAGAGGTGTGCGTTGAAGATCTCATGGACTGGGGCCTCTGCTAGACGTTCCCAGCACACCCTCACTACGCGTTTAGGTGCACCAGGTCTGTCCAGCGTCCTCCCCCGCCACCTGATCCAACTCACCACCAGGTGGTGATCAGTTGACAGCTCAGCCCCTCTCTTTACCCGAGTGTCCAGAACATATGGTCGCAGGTCTGGTGATACGATTACAAAATCGATCATCGACCTACGGCCTAGAGCATCCTGGTGCCACGTGCACTTATGGACACTCTTATGTTCGAACAGGGTGTTCGTTATGGCCAAACTGTGATTAGCACAGAAGTCCAATAACAAAGCACCGCTCGGGTTCAGATCAGGGAGGCCGTTCCTCCCAATCACGCCCCTCCAGGTCTCGCTGTCGTTACCCACGTGAGCATTGAAGTCTCCCAGCAGGACAACAGAGTCTCCAGGTGGAGCACCTTCCAGCACCCCCCCCAGGGACTCTAAGAAGGCTGGGTACTCCGAACTGCCACTCGGCGCATAAGCGCAGATGACAGTCAGGACCCGTTCCCCGACCCTAAGGCGCAGGGAACAAACCCTCTCGTCCACCAGGAAAAACCCCAACGTACCGGCAGCAAGCCGAGGGGATATAAGAATACCCACCCCAGCCCGCCGCCTCTCACCAGGGGCAACTCCAGACTGAGACAGAGTCCAGCCCCTCTCCAGGAGACTGGTTCCAGAGCCCAGACAATGCGTAGAGGTGAGCCCAACTATATCTAGCCGGTACCTCTCAACCTCACGCACCAACTCAGGCTCCTTCCCCACCAGAGAGGTGACATTCCATGTCCCTATTGCCAGTCTTGGCAGCCGGGGGTCGGTCCGCCAGGGCCTCCGCTCCTGGCCGCCACCCGGCTCACAATGCACCCGACCCCTATGGCGCCTCCTGCGGGTGGTGGGCCTGCGGGAGGATGGGCCCATGTCTCCTCTTCGGGCTGTGCCCGGCCGGGCCCCATGGACTAAGGCCCGGCCACCAGACGCTCGCCCTCGGGCACCCTCCCCGGGCCTGGCTCCAGGGTGGGGCCCCGGTAACCCTATCCCGGGCAGGGTAAGCTGTTCCCTCGATATTCTTTTCATGGGGGTCTTCTGAATCGCTCTTTGTCTGGTCCCTCACCCAGGACCAGTTTGCCATGGGAGACCCTACCAGGGGGCAAAAGCCCCCAGACAACATAGCCCCTGGGATCCCTGGGACACACAAACCCCTCCACCACGATAAGGTAGCGATTCAATACACTGTGATATTTGAGAAGTGAAATAAAGTTTGTTGGATTTACAGAAAGTGTGCAATAATTGTTTAAACAAAATCAGGCAGGTGCATAAATTTGGTCACTGTTGCCATTTTATTGATTCCAAAACCTTTAGAACTAATTATTGGAACTCAAATTGACCCCTGACCTACATACACAGGTGAATCCAATAATGAGAAAGAGCATTTAAGGGGGTCGATTGTAAGTTTCCCTCCTCTTTTAATTTTCTCTGAAGAGTAGCAACATGGGGGTCTCAAAACAACTCTCAAATGACCTGAAGACAGCGATTGTTCACCATCATGGTTTAGGGGAAGGATACAGAAAGCTGTCTCAGAGACTTAAGCTGTCTGTTTTCACATTTAGGAACATATTGAAAAAAATGGAAGACCACAGGCTCAGTTCAAGTTAAGGCTCGAAGTGGCAGACCAAGAAAAATCTCGGATAGACAGAAGCGACGAATGGTGAGAACAGTCAGAGTCAACCCACAGACCAGCACCAAAGACCTACAACATCAACTTGCAGCAGATGGAGTCACTGTGCATTATTCAACCAATCGGCGCGCTCTACACAAGGAGATGCTGTATGCAAGAGTGATGCAGAGGAAGCCCTTTCTCCGCCCACAGCACAAACAGAGCCGCTTGAGGTATGCTAAAGCACATTTGGACAAGCCAGCTTCATTCTGGAATAAGGTGCTGTGGACTGACGAAACTACGATTGAGTTATTTGGGCATAACAAGGGGCGTTATGCATGGAGGAAAAAGAACACAGCATTCCAAGAAAAACATCTGCTACCTACAGTAAAATATGGTGGTGGTTCCATCATGCTGTGGGGCTGTGTGGCCAGTGCAGGGACTGGGAATCTTGTCAAAGTTGAGGGACACATGGATTCCACTCAGTATCAGCAGATTCTGGAGACCAATGTCCAGGAATCAGGGACAAAGCTGAAGCTGCGCCGGGGCTGGATCTTTCAACAAGACAACGACCTGAAACACTGCTCAAAATCCACTAAGGCATTCATGCAGAGTACAACGTTCTGGAATGGCCATCTCCTACAACCTACAGGAAGTGTTTAGAGGCTGCAATTTCTGCAAAAGGCGGATCTACTAAATATTGATTTCATTTCTTTTTTGTGGTGCCCAAATTTATGCACCTGCCTGATTTTGTTTAAACATTATTGCACACTTTCTGTAAATCCAATAAACTTCATTTCACTTCTCAAATATCACTGTGTGTGTGTGTCTCCTATATGATATATTTAACTGACATTTTTTATTGTAACAACCAACGATTTATACAGGAAAATAATGACTATTAACAAGGTTGCCCAAACCTTTGCATCCCACTGTATGTGAAAACTCTTCTTTCCAGGAAAGAAAGATGAGTTTTCTTGAATTTTTCTGCAAGAAAATAAAATGACCTTGCTGTTGCTTGTATGTTTAGACAGGCTCCTGTATGCTTTTCCTCTTTCAGTCATTCATTTTTCCCCTGAAAACCTCAAGCAGCCAAAACACCCACGATGCTCCCCTCTTTGGCACATAGCAGGAGTCCCTCACAATGATCTACTATGAGCCCTGTATGTGCACAAGCACTGAACTGTTAGGTGCATGCATGTGTGTAATGAACTGAAAATGTGACTTAAATTAAGTGTTTATGACAGGCTTTTAAAGGATTGTTTCTGTCTGAGAATAGGTTGGAAAAAATTTTTTCTCTTTATAGCACTGACCCTAACGTGGTGATTATTGATTAGAACCTTGATATTCTTGCCTAATAAGTTAATGAAGCCAGGGCAGAAAACACTACCAGCACTCAGAAGCTGAGGGCGACACTTAAATCCATGGTGAGAAAAAGCTTTTGTAGAATGTTAAGTAGGGGGAAAAAAATTCAATAGTCTACAAGTGGTAATTAGCTCATTTTAATCAATCACTAGAGGCCCTTAATTAAGTGCTGTGTATTCATGTGTTTAAAAAAAACCCTCCCAAATACAGGCTGTACCAATCAATGTTACGTATTGGTAGCATGATGTCAGACCAAAGACAAAATCAGGCTTGTAAATAGATTAATTTAAAAAAAATCTTTAAAAATCGTCTTTCAGTTTTAAGGATTCAAGTATACATCCTCCACTAGGCAACAACACATGAAGCATTACACTGGGTTATTATTTATTTAATAAACAGTATGGCAAAAACAGTGTGTGTAAAAACTACAAACAAGTGCAACCTTACATAATATTGGAATTAAGACAGTAAGTAGCTGCAAGGTGCTGTTAATCCAATGCACTTGATCAACTGATCATCAGCAGCTGTTAGTACTAGTCTGTAGCATTTAAGTGTGTGTTAAGGAGGAAAGACATCAGCAAAGACCTTAGATTACCAATTCTTGATGGCCATCTGGGATTGGTTGTGGGGTGATCTCCAAATAATCTGGTCCATCATTCTGCAGTAAGAAAATGATTCACAAGTGGAAAACAAGATAGATGTAATCTTTCCAAGAGCAGGCAACTCACCCCAGAGGACTCATTTCACCTGATAGGAGGCAACCTTTCTGCAAACAGTCCCAGTCTGACCCTGAAAGACTGCAACCACTCTGAGATTATGCTGTCTAATTAATAAATGCAGACAGATTGCCAGCATGTTTCCATCAGTCTGAATGCGTCTTTGTCAGTGAACACAACTCGAGGTTATATCCCAAAGACCAGGAAGGTTGTAATAGTTAAATGTAAATTTCTATCTTTTCCTGTCTACATAGACAGGACGAGATACGTGAACTGCATACAATTAACAGACCTCAACCTGACTGAAACACTGTGGTGGGACCTTAATAGAGCTGTGCATAAATAAATGCAAGAAAACCACAATTAATGGAAGGAGTACAACAGCAAAATCCCTTCACAGTGATGTGAGAGACTGATAAAGTCACACAAAAAACTATCACTTCAAGCAGCTACAGAATCATACAGTTTACTTAGTTTTTCACACACATTGATTTTCATTAATCAAATAATGAAACTGTGTAATATTTCACGTGATGTTGCTCATCCTTTGTCTCATTAAATCATTTTAGAACCTGGTAAGGACCAGATAATTTTTAAGAAGTCCTGCTATATAAAATCTTCAAAGTGAAAGAGGGGACACTTTCTTTTTGGCCGTCTTGCAGAGCAACTAATGACTGTTGTGCATAATCATGTAGGTAATGCTACTGTACAAGGGACTTATCAAGCTGTATAAAATGCTGGTCCTTCAACGGCAGCATGATAATGGCTGCAATAAATCCCAGAATGTAATGAAGCACCCCCACCCCGAACCCCGAGGTCCTCTCTCAAAATGCAAAAAGTAATTACAGTATTTTTTTGAACGAGTTTAAGTCTCAATAATTAAATTCACACCTGCTGATATGTGTCACAGTGGGGATTTTAAGATCACTGTTCCATTAGGAAGATAATGAGGCTCAAAGAGAAAATGCTTCGCGGGTCTTTGCTTGATTGACAGGTGCCTGTCAATCCCATCTTAAAGATGGCGGTGAGCGTATACCCCAGACGTATGAGAGAAGTGAGGGTGATATCACAGACAGTTCAGCCATATTTCTGTTTTTAGCATTTACAATGTAGACAGTATTTCCAGATCATTTCCTTATTTTTGACATATCAGCACATGATGCACAATCCTTTTAGGATTCGAATCCACCTCCACTGTTAAACCTCCAGCTTCGGTGTGCAACGTTTGTTATGGAGCTGAAGCCACATCGTCCCAGTAGATAAAGTCCAGTGGCTTTATCATCCCATGTTGCAGGTCCCTGTAATATACACGCATTAAATATGTTACATGTCAATTAAATTCATTTCGTTCATATATATACAGCAAAACAATTCATACAAACATCTCCAGTCATCACAGATTACTTATCTAGATTTTCTTTTTGAAGTAAACTGAAACTAACCGACTGATAAAAACCGACCCATAAATCTTTCAAACCAACAATGCTCTCATGCTCCCAAAGTGGAGTCTAGCTCAACCCAGTTCAACAATACAGCTCACAGAACGATAAATTCTGCAACTTCAGAAAACAGCTAGAAATATGTTTTCCCTTATCCTTACCCCGAAATCTCTTACACAACAGAGTCACTGTAGAATGAAGCCTTTGTGTCTGCTCTCTCTTCTACTGCCTTTTTTTCCCTTCGCACTGCCCTGCAACATTTGTCACGTCCCTGGAGATGTGATGTTGTGAGCAAAAGTTGGAGAAACAGTAAAGGCTGCGCAACAAGGTCCACCCTAAAGCTGAGATTCCTAAACCACTGACATCTTTGCAATTACATCATGTTTTTCCATGTTCTAACATCCTAAAACAAAGGGGGCACACAGCATCTGTAACTGTAAGCCTGACTATTATAGTGCAAGATGCCCCTAAAAAGAAATTTATTGGAGAGAAATTTGAGGATATCCAAGGAATGCTTTGTGAGGAGCATATAATGTGTCGCAATCAAACAGTAGGTATTTACATATACAGTGATTTACAATCTATTCTTCTTTTGCTGCTTCATAAATTTACTTCTGCACCTTACTGTGTGCCTCGGCACCTCTATGGCTCTCCCTCAACATGTTTTAAATAAATAAACTAATGATGATAAGGAGGAGGAGGATAGTAATGCTTCTCTGTGTTGAGGCCACAGCATTCTTGGTGGATTGTACTTTTACTTTACTAGAACTGTCAACCAAGACAGGTGTGACTGACAAGACAGACATTTTTCTAAAGAACAAGAACATGTTGTGTCTCAAAACACGTGCAGTTTGCCAGCTTTGCCAGGTTTAGTTTGATTTAAGTCAACAGGAGGCTGCTCTTTGTAATTTGCTGTCATGAGGCTTGGATTTTGTAAATCTCAAAGAATTATGTGCACAGGGTGAAAGACATGTTTTTACTACTTTGCTGTTTTACTGTAGCAACATTACCAGAGTATCTAAATCCAATTAACAACGACATAATAATTCACTAGATCAAAAAGCTTTCAAATAGAAGCCCCTAACACTCATGCAAGCAATAGTGCTTGCAGACTGAATAAATACACAACTGAGCTTTCAACATAGTGTTTTATTGTAAGCAGTAACAGCATTAAGGGTAATTCCTAGATCACTGGAAAGTACCAGCTCACAAACATGTACTTTTTTGAGAAAAGAAAAAAACTATAACCCCGCAGGGTTTTTCCGGTTTCAAAATGGGCCGTTTTTATAATCCTTATAAAAAATGATCAGTCAAGGCTAGTCTGTATTTTGAAAAATCAATGGGTTTTTTTTTATTATTTCTGTGCAACTGATACACAGTAATGCCCACTATGTAATGGTGAATGAATCCCTAATAAGTAGTTAAAAAAGGAACTGTTATATTTCCTCTGGCTATGCATAAAACGTGTGGGGTTGCCGCAAATTCCTGTATATGAGAAAACCCTGCACAGAATCAAAAACTTCCTGATTTCCTTATCAAAAGAGGTTCATTGGTTCCTGGAAAAAAAAAAAGATCCACAGGAAACCAAGTTCAAATCAGTGTTTATGTTTTCTACTTGTCAATTTATATACCTCTTTTAATACAATATAAGTACAGCTAAAAATCTCGTCCTGTTTAACCTTGTAATTCCAGCTGGGCGATCCACATCCTCACGCATGGCTTCTGAATGTTGTGTTATTTGATGAAGACAAATTATGCGCTGTCTGCATCGTGCGCTAAATCTTTGATACCAGAGTTATCTCTGCTTCAGACTTCAGCCAGACATAAAAGCTATCAATACAAATAGGAATCTTTCCAAATATAAAAGCATTATGAGCAGATTACAGTTAATATTGAGTTATTTTCAGCGCGCTCATTTACTCAGTTCTAACGTGGGCGTTGCACAAAAAGATCACTGCTGGAAGCCCTGACAAAATTCTTTCTCTGCTGTGTCATATGGGCGGAGAGCCTGCAGTTATCGAGTTAGCGGGGGCTCTATCTGTCTTCCAGTCTTCTTTGACTTGACCACAGTTGCAATCCTGGAAGGGGTAAGCTACAGTATCTGTGTGTCCGTGTATCCTCCACCCCTGCGACCAAATGCCAAAAGTGTCTGAAGACGGAATTTTCTCTGATCCCGTTTGTTGTGCTGTCTGTTGAAATACCTCCAGCGTAGCAGTTTTGTGTGTGTTTGTATGAGAGGCAAATATGTTAATAACAGTCATACTGTATCTCTGGACCTCTGGACCTTTCACACTGTCACTGTCACTGGTGTTGAAATGTGCCTGTGTTTGTTTACAGTACTGCACAGAGGAGTGAATATAACACAAGTCTCTAATGCAAGCTGAAACTCACACTCTTGTGGCGTAGGCGCTTATCTATTTGACTTCCTTTTTTTTTTTGGTCTGCTGGGTGAAATGCAGACGCGAGCAGAGAGGCCAAATGTGGTGAGGCAGCGTGCATGATAAATGAACTTCACTAGCCGAGTCATACGGGAATGGGAAATAAAAAGCATCCACACACGCCCTACCTGACAGTTTGAGCACGGCAGCTTTGTGCTTCTATTGCTGCTCATTAAATCCAACCAGACTCATAATAGCGGCTTGATTCAGCCGGACACTGATGAATAATCGGCCACAGTGGCTGATGCCAACAATTAATGGGACCAATTTCTTTTTGGAAAAACAGCTGTGCTTGACGAAGCATAGCTGCTCCATTTATTAATTGGGCGCCATCATTTCCTTATTCCTATTTCTAACTTCTTTCTTCCACTGCTTTCTGCCTCTGCTTCCCTCCCTTCCTGCTGGGGTAGAAGTTGGAAACCTGAATCATGCCGTTCTGCTTGTTGCTGTCGGGCAGAGAAACCAGCGAATCAGTGCAACAGCTCCACTCAGCAGCATAGGGATTTTCACAACACTGAACATCACAATCTCACAACATTATCTGAGGCTATAGTGGGAAATGGCTTAGCCCTTAAACTGTCTGTGCTTCTGAGCCAACTGACACTGACTGGCAGAAATGTTGGGCCAACAGAGTTAAAATACTGCTTAGCACATCCAGAGTTATGACTGAATTACAAAAGAGGAAAATGTTTTTTTTAAACAAACAAAAACCTTTTTTTTTTTTTTTTTTAGCTCGGACTGAAGAAATAATTCAAACTGGGAAACTAATTACGCTGTGTGAAAAAAAAAATAGTTATGCATACAAAATAGCTCAATTTTCCACTACTACACCCATTCTGCTTGTGGTGTGACTGACAGCTGAGGAGAAAATGACACCTACACTTGTGGCTGCAGAGTGCCGAGGAAGTTGTCAATGCGTTCCTGTGGCACGTCCCCGTCTAGCTGAGCCAGGTAAGTGTAGAGCCTGACAAAGGTGTCGAACGGGATCTTTGCGGCACCACCCGTCTCATCCTCTGTTAGGATCTCGCAGGCAAACTTAAGCGAACTGATAAGAGTCTGAGGATTTGTGTTGTCACAAAAACAAAGAATTAGTTTGCTGTTGCATCGCATTTAAGCAAGACACACTGCAAATATACTTGCATGCACACACTGTAACTCAGACAGCTAAATCTAAGTAGCATAAGAGTGCCCTCGTGTGGTTAAAGTGTTCAAGAGCCTTGAAAACAGGAGTAGAATTCTACCCAAATTACTAACACTGAGCACATAATGCTGTTAATGCTTAGCTGCATTTGCTTTCCTAGACACCAACTTATCTTCTGTAAAGTTCTTCATGCTTAAATAAATTCTCTTTGATCTGTCACTACTGCTCTATCTGAATCTGTGAAGCCAAAAAAAATATCATTGGCTTAACAGCGAAGCAAAGATTCAAGTAGTTGCTGAAGGATTTATCCAGTCACTCTTTTTTGGAGCCAGGGGACCCCGATGATGGAGACTGCATTGCAAATTCCTGGATCTAACATTAACACCTGGAGACTAGAGTGTGCTGCTGGAGGATCTTCAGCTGTGCTTGGCCTCGCACCAGGTTTTTAAGGCTCAAAGGAAGAAGTATATAAAGTTGTATTTGCATTTATAGCCAGGATTGTGAACACCTCACCCCTCCAAGAGCGCTGCAGCCCAGGGCAAAAAACTCCATCCAGTCAATATCTGAGCCAAAGCTGCCCAGCGACAGCAGGGTCTCCAGCTGAGCCACAGGTAGACACAAGCCCTTCCACTTCGCCTGCAGTTCCTCTTTGCTACAGGTTGTCTTGGGCGACAGCTATGATTTGATGATAAAAAAAAATGGGGGGTTAGGAGACTTTAGGGGGGGAAATCTAGTTATTCACTTTCTAGATAAAATCTGAAATGAGTCCTATTTCCACAAATAAACAACAAGGTTGGATATGGAGAATCTGGTGGCTCTATTTACTTACAATCTCTTTTTTCTCTAGACTTTTATATGTGGACAGCCAGGGCATAAATAACCGCAAATACTGATGCACAGTAATCCAAATAAAAAGTAGATTTGAGCAGGATATAAACACTAATAATAATCTCTCAAATAATGGCACAGATCTGCATTTGTTTTGCATTCAGATTTTCTGGATTTCTTTCAGACTTTCTACTATCAATGCAGTTTAAAATGTTACAAAATGAATAACTCGAGACAACAAAAGAGCAGCACTCTCACAAGATTTATGCTGCCGCTTAAGTGCTAGCTTTTAAGGAAATATTAATTATTCATTTCTTTTAATGAATCCGCCACACCGAGATGCCAGTAAACAGCCCAGGTGAGATAAAATGGATTTAAGACAATATGAAACTTTAATGACCCACACGGGAAACATCACTGCTATATGGAGACACACACATAAAAACACGCATAAAAGAATAGAAGAGTAATCAAAGTTGGACATTAAACTCAATGGAAGTTATAATTATACCCATAAAAGCAAAACAGTAAATGACGAAACGCAAATATGTGATAAAGTAAATGCATTTATTTCTTTCAAAAGCAACAGTGAGAATAAAAATTTTATTTGTGCGACAACTTCTACAGGTTATGAGCCTGCTGTTGAGAAACTACCTGTTTGTGGAGGATCTTCAGAAGACCTGGAGTCAGCCCAGTGTCCGTCTTCTGGGTGGCAACATTTAATTCCAGCCTGTCCTTAACAGGCAGACACTCTCCTTTAGACAGAGCACTGAAGTATCTGGAAGAGGACACAGTCATAATAATTAGCAAAGAATTCTTAAACACTGTGTTTAGCATCACCATTCTCAGAAATTCATCTGCCCCCAAGCTTCCTAAGTATACCATTCAAATATACCATTTGCTTTTCTTTGTGAGAGGTTTTAAAGGCATGCTGTGGCATATTTCACTTCATTATTAGAAAAGAAAAAATATAACTTTCCATGCATTTACTGACTTTCAGGATCTCTGAAAGGGAACAGAGCCAAGTATTACTTTAATAACATAAACATCTCATCACCCAGGAGGCGCTCGATTTGTTTTTTCGCTTCACTGTATGACTCACTTTATTGTCTATTGCTATAAACAAAGCCAAGCTACATTGGTCAATAAAAAAGAAGAGGATGCTGAGAGTCCTTAGAGGTAGGAAATAAAAGGTAAAAGAAAATAAATTGAATATTTCCATATCATCGAGTGCTTTTAGCATGGTTTTTCTTTATTCGAGACAGTAAGATAGTTTAACTGCTGCACTAACATGAAAGCCCTTGGGATCTAATTACAGCTAGTCAATGCAACGATAAGACACGCACAGGTGAAAGGGGCCTGCCTTTCCCTACAGTGATGTAGCCTGGAGACATGGTTTATGCTCCTGTTTGTGAGAATTAAACTGGAATAAAACACAATCACACACATCTCTACTCTTAACCTGAACCTTCATTGACAGACATTAAGACTTACGCTGTAGACCACTGCAACAAATCCTTGGGCTGTGTTCGGATGGCTGCCTTAGTAAAGTCTTTAAGGATGTCTGGCAGCTCGGGAGGGATGTTGATTTGCTGGGCACAGTAGAATGTGTCTGGAAGAGGCATGGCTGTAATATAAACAATGCAATAATGTCCAATTAGTTGAAAAGAAATAGAATCCAATAGAAAATTAAAAACTACAATAAAAATCACCCGCACTGACAAAAAAAACATAATTAATATAAAGACTGCATTCTGGTGCTTCAAATTTGTCTGTGCTAGCCATGGGAGTTTGACAGGAATATAGACATATGATTATGAATACAGTGTGTTTCAAAGAAGTAAGTTTAAAATTTGCATATACACTCTCATCTGGTGCCGTTTTTTTTACCGATTCAACTTAATAAATTAATACTAATTTCTAGTCCACCAAACATAATTATAGTATGTTCACCGACATTAATCCACTGTATGGTACTTGCTTTAAAAACTGTAGCCTGTTACCTGGACTGATGAACAGAAAGTCACCGGAAGACGCCCCTGAAATATGAGCTGCTAGCCTAAGTAATGATTATTTATGCCTAGCAGTTCATGGGAGTGTTGTAGCGTCGTCGCATAGCAACGGCGTCTTCTTCTTCTTCTCCCTGTGGTATTAGAAACCCCACGGGAAGAGCACTACCGCCCCCTCTGCTGAAAACACTGTTCCTGGTACATGCTCAATCATCCAGCTAAGGAAATCCCAGAAAGTTGATTCTGTTCATGTGGAGGCAGCGTTATCTGTCTGACGAAAATAACATGACACCCATGGAGAACACTGACATAAATCTCAATACTCAGTCAGAAATATTCCTCCAGTGAAAACAAACTGGTGCACAAAACACCACTTTCAAAACTTTTTACTTAAATAAGAGCTAGAATCAGTAGCACCAGTGGCCCGTTCTATGCTGTATAATGGTTTGGGGCACTATAAGACAGTACTGTAGTAATATTTCTAATACAGTGACTTTGATGGCAGCCTATCATATTTCAGGATGCAGGCCCCTTTGCTCCCCTTCTAGACACCCCCCTGCTGTAAGGAACAAATGAATCATTCATCATAATTTAGAACTATTAATGGAATATTTACACAGATATACAAAAGGGCATTTTCAGCAGAGATCAGTGTTCAAACAGCATACTGTGCTCCCTCACCTAAGTTTATTGTAGTAAGACTAACTGATCATTGGGAAAATACCTTTTCCCTCATGTTAGTTACGCTAAAACCTGTCGGTCAAATTGAATAAATGATACATTTAATCGGATGTGTGTTTAGAGGAATCTTTATGGGTTTTATTACAGTCTCAAAACTTTAAACATAAACTTTCTTTTGAAACTGGTCACTGGCTTTAATATTTTTATTAAGATAAAATTTAACTTTAGATAGAAAAGTGGAAGACCAAAGTAACACTGCAAAAGGACAAACACATTAGTTTCGAGTTTAGAGAGACTGATGTACGCTCAGAAGGCCTCTTAGGTCCTGACTACATTATAATGAATCTGTAACCTAGACTGTGCCTTTTTTTTTTTTAAAGGAACAGTAGAAGTTAGTGTGAAAGCGTTAATTTTAGGGCAACTTCCCAAACTTTGGCATTATATGGCTTACAGCCTTGAAAGCTTCATAGTACAATTATGTTGTCACAAACAGTCTGGGTTAACTTTGCTTCGTGTGATGACTTGAAAATATATCAGATGCGGGAAGAGCTGCTGCAAAGCATGTGACATACAACATATTGATGACAGAGTTTTTCCTGTGTCAACACACATTTATTGAAGTGATGCCACAAACAGGCAAAACATCATATTGGAGATTTTATTATTAAACAGCTTTTAGAAAATTCAGGATTCCACAGACTGTGATTAGAAAATAACAACAACAACATGGACAATTTAAAAAACAAACAAAAAAAAAAAAGCAGAATATCTGACCCCCGACCAGCCCCAGTACTCAAAGGAAATATGATCAGACCAGAGAGACAATTTCATACTTGTGTGACAGAAACACATGCACATTCACACAATCACCGTCAGGTCACATACACTGGAAAGTGCAGATTTGTTCTAGCACATGTAGAAACTGAGCAGGTACAATATGCATATGAAATCCCTTTCAAATTCAACCAACTTAACATCTAATGAACTCATGTAATACGAAGAGCACAAAGTTTCGAATCTCAAGTTCTTGCAACAGTACACAGGGGCAAAACACCAAAACCATAATGTGTCTAAAAGTAATTAATGAGGATGGAGTAGCAAAAGAAAAAAAACAAAACACAGGTTACATGAGCTAGATAATGGGCCAGCTCAAGGTTCTAGTCCACTTTTACCTCTCAAATCTCATATCTTTCTCTACTTGATATAAAAATAAAACTGTGCTTCTCAAAAAAACAAAAAAAACAAAATAACAACCCTGGACGCTCCAGAGCCTATAAAACTATCTAGGATGTAATATTACACTCCTTTGATACTTCAGACGGAAACTCTGCCACAAACATTGCTCCATAAATCTTATCTGATCGTTTCCTGGACGATCCTTGGGCCACGTGATCATTTGGGAAGCGCTCGAGTGCATTTCTGTGATTGACAGTTTGTGGAGCACAGCAGAACCATTTCAAAGCATTAAAAAAAACAAACGGAAAAAACGTTGTCTTATAAAATGTTCTGGCTTAAGCAATTTCTCACCAGTAACTGAGCAATTTGCAAGTGAGCCAACAATCCCAAAAGCATTGTAGCACCACAGACCAAAGTGTGCAGAAAGAAAAACATTCTGAAGCAATGCAAATGAGCTAAATCCATGCTTAAAATGATATAAATGCTATTTTATCCTATCTTTACATGCGGCTGCCTACTGTATTGATTTGGGTCCTCCCTTCTTTACCAAAGGCAAAAGTAATCACTGCTAAAAACAGAGTCACTCGTGTACTTCTGCTCTAATTTCTGTAGTCTAATCCCTCTGCAGAGTTGGATCCAACAGGAAAACGTGAATGTGGGTAAATTAAAAAGAAATGCATGTAGAAGACTGGACAATTCAGAATAGCATATTTCCTCCGTTTTGGTTGGGTAATGGTCATTTTAGCATCGTCTTCTATGCTTTTGGGAGATCAAGCTGTACTTGCTACAAACTCATAGCTGGTCAGCTGCTCAGTAACATGCGTCTATCATTTCCCGTTTCTATCTCTTGCCCCTTTTGTTACCAGCTGGGGGCTTCTTCAACTGGAGTAAGGGTGCTGCTGTGGCAAAGCCTCCAGGAGGTGGGTTAGACACGCCAAATGTCAGGCCGGCAGAGGGGTTGATGCCAGGGTTGCTGAAGTTGAAGCCTGAGCTGTTGGTGCTACCAAAACCTAGTAAAGCAAGACAAGGAACAAAAAACAAAAAACAGTCAAATACGAGAAAAACAAAAAGATAAAACATGAATAACATGAGGATTTAGAAAATCTGGTGTCAGAAAAAGGAAGTTCAAATGAAATTCAGAGGTTTTTTATAAGGATTTTGCCATCCAAGCTTAAAACCCCCAAGATTCTAAAGTGCCAACACACACAAACAAACATATATACACATAACTGTATTTACCCACTGCTGGGACGTTCATTATAACTTTAAAATATGGATATACTAAACTTGTTGCAGTTCCATTTACATTACACTAATGAGACACAGTTACAGCTTAGACCCTTTCCAAACTTTATACACTTAGCGAGCTGAGCCTTTATTCTTTGTTGCCATCATGTTTGGTGGCCCAGGTGTTAAGGTGCTATATACAGCATGTATTGTACCTGCACTCAGACTGCCTCCTGTGGGCTTATTGGTGGAAGAGAAGGCAAAAGAAGACCCCCCAGTCCCCACCCCACCAAATCCTGGCCCACCACCAAAACCTGTGGGAGAGAGTGACATGGAAGTCAGACTGGTCTAAGCACACAGCCTAGACTAGATACAAAAACAAGAAGCGCCTCAGGAGTTACACACTGGCAGGCATTAGCAGACAAAAGCAAGCAAAAAAGAAAAAAAAAAAAAAGTCATAAACTAATCCACAGAGCACCCCACTTGGCTTAACTTCTGACCGAATAATGCAGAATCAAACAGGACTCACAGTGCACTACACCGCAAAGCAAAGGCCAAAGGAAGAAAAACGGCAGATTTCACCGAATACCCAAACTACGAGAAAACAGACAATACTTTTGAGTGCGCTCAGACCACTTGCTTCCACACTCTCAAGTGGATTTGCAATTTGACATGCCCGTATTTTAACACCACAGCGTTTCGCCGTGACAGCTGAGTGAAACTGTTTACCAGGTAACAACTGTACGATAGGATTGCAGTTTTTGTGTGTGGTGTGAACGCACTTGACTCCTCGCAAAAGGCAGAGCAGAAAAGAGAAACAGCTAAGCTCTGACTGCACCACTCTGTCAGACACATACACACCAGCTGCTTAGTCTGTCATACAACCAAACTCAAATACATTTTCTTTAAAAACCCACTTTGATTTAACCACCAGGTAACATTAGGGGAAATGGCAAAGTATGCAGGGGTCTAGCAAAAAATAAAACACACGAGAAAACAGGGAATATTCATTTAAAAAAAAAAAAAAAAAAAAAAAAAAAAAAAAAAAAAAAAAAAAAAGCAGAGGTAATACCTCCCAGGGTAGAAGAGCCCAAGCTAGTGCCCAATGCTGAGGCAAAGGGGTTTCCAAACCCTGCCCCCAGAGGCGCCTGGGTCCCTAAGGCACAAAGAGAGAGCACAGGCTTTTACTCTTCTTTTATGTGAGACAAAAAACACAAAGTAAACTGCACTGCTGTCACGCTGACAGCTTTATTTTAGCTTTAGAAACAAGTCCTGCAGTTGATTCAAATAAAATATGATAATCTGATCTAATGACTGCGCCGACAGAGGCATCAAAAGACTACAGCATCTAATTAACTGCAACCTCACATGAGCTGAAATATGACAATAATTAGGCAACGGATCAGGCTTTCACAAAGTACATATGAATATGTACTATCCTGCTATAAAGGCTTTCAACTATAATATTCCAGCTAATCAGCAGCGCATTTATCACTGCTGGCAAGCTGGGAGGGAAAAAGGAAGCACTGCTAGTTCTTTCACTCAGAAACTTGTCTTGTTTTCTTTAAGCATTCTCTTTTATCTTATCAAATTTGGGAGCTTTTCAATTAGTCTACATTCTTAAAACAAGTTCAGTGAAAAAGAAACAAGGACAAGCGTTTCTTTGTTTAAAAACCAATTTATTTTCAATTAAATATGCAATTCCACTTACATAAAACACAAACAAACAGTTTGGAACAAAAATTGGCTGTTAATTGCTAAGTGCTACTGCATTTGACAAGTTTCCAAATTCAAGATTTCTGAGAGTGAATGAACTAGCATACCTAAAATTTAATTTAAAAAAAACTTTTTAAAAATGCATCACACAATTACTGAATATAGCTTTAAAAGGCACAACATATTTATAGATTAAATATACTGTATCAACAGGCATTGGATATATAAGATTAAAACACAAGGTTACAGGTAAAAGCACTGGAGAATTAGATAAGAAATGTGAAAACGGCATTCATGG